TGTGCTACCATAAGGCAAGAAATCAAGATTAAAAAAAGTTCGGTCCATATGAGTTTGAATTTGTCGTAAACTCTGGTTTTAACAAATTCACATGGATAGGAACAAATACACCGCTTTAAATCTAAGTGTCATAAGATTTACTCCTTCATGAAAATGATTGTGAGGAAATTCTTTCACTAAGAAAGATTTTAAGAAGATAGTGATTGTAAAATTGCATTTTCGAATTTGATTATGGTTACGATATCCCTTTCCATAATTTGAATTGTGAGGTTTGGCAATTAGTCTTAATTGTTTAGACACACATATGAACTATCTAAGGCAAAGGTGTATAAGCTTAAGAGGCCTTGATAAAAGATTATCAAAGCATTAAGTATTAGAAACATGGACTTAAGAAATTCAATAGGTATTGTTTTTCTGGAAGTTAAGATGTTTTGAATACATGTCGAAGCTAGTGGGAGCATAAGTGTTATGTTTTATAATAATCATAATGATAGTGGGAGCATAAATGTTATGATTGTATGATTATTAATGCAAGTATTGCAAGTTGGCAATATTAATTATAGAAAACAAGAGTCATTCTTTGCAAAGTTGTAAGAATGGAATAGTTGTTTTGCTATAATTAAGGGAGAGAATATTATGCTTCATTTAAAATCTAAAGGCTTAGGTTGAGAAATGTTAATAAATTTAGTCAAAGGTACATAGTATGTTCTTAAAATTTAGATTATGATTACGACATTCCTTTTCACAATTCGAATTTTGAGAACATAGCAAATAAAACATTATACGTCGTGTCCCATACGCTTCGGGTATAGGATCGATTGCAAATGCTTTAATGTTTGACCATTCTAAAATTTTCAAAATGCCTAGCGCATTTAGAGGGAAACGGGACTAGAATCGATTTTGACTAAAATAATTAAACAACTATCAAATGACAATCCAAAGTTCGACGAGGATTGGTTGCTTGTGAGTAGTTGGAAGCATGGTATTAAATGGATCATATCGACATTATTATGAATAGAAAAGATTCTATTAAGAATGAGTTGTCATATGGAAATTATGGAAATGTTTCCACATTGGATGGACCATATCGACATCATTACGAATAGATAAGATTCTATTAAGAATGAGTTGTCATATGGAAAATATGGAAGCGTGTCCATATTGGGAATTGAATATTGAAAATCTATGTCTAGATTAGAAACTTTTATGCAAAAGGATGTTCAAAGGAATGTACCTTGAGTGAGAGACATCATATCTAAGGAATTGTCTTGTAACAATCTCCGATAAAAGACTTTGTAATTTCATTGGCAATAGTCTTTGTGACTTTGGTTAGTGATAGTACGAAAGAATCATTGCATAGAATGTTAGAATCTAGCATATTCTATAAGTAGCGAAAATTTGATATTCTTTTACTTATGAAAAAGGATATGAAGTTGTGAAATGAGAATGATTGGAAATGTGTTCAATGTGATCTATTTCACAAAGTAAGAACCATAGGTGAACATTGTGTGCATGCTAGGAGTATGGGATAAGTGTTGTAATTCAAATAAGAAGTTGATTAACCGAAATGACAAATAATGAGTAATCGATATGGTGATAAATAAAAGGTGTTTTATTTATACTCAAAGGTTTGAGGCCCTATGGGATTAGTATTATTCTTGTGTTTCGCATTTGCATGTTTTGACTTCCAGAATAATTGAGTTTATTAAGAATAATCAAATTATTCAAACGGGCCACAGTCGTTCATATGATTGGAAGTAGATATGATTGAAGACTGTCGTGAATTGGTATGTGGATTGTCTCAAAGAATATTAGACATAAGCAAATGTTTGCTGCAACGTTCATGAGTGCTTATGAATATGAATTTGAGCATTGGATTAAACCCACGCTCATTTGGATCACTCCATGAATTGGATCACAAGTGATTGGTGAGACGATAACACCTTATATTCTTGCAACCGAGATGTGTGAGTTGTATCTTGCTAATCGGTTGCACATTGATAATATGAAAACACACTAGTAACTTGGTGTTATAAAACATATTGTTGTGTGTGATTCGGTGAGTGAGTGCAAGCAAGCATTGTATCAAAGTTTATCCGTTCCTTTTATCCAAAGTAGGACAAAAGCGATATCTTTGGGCCCCTCGATGGTTTAGTGATGACAAACGTAAATGCTCAGCCGGGCTAGGGCTAATTTGATTTGTTCAATTAGTCAGTCGTCATAAATCAGAGACCGAGATATAGTACAAAGAGAATGATTAGAAATCATATCTCAGACGATATCTATAATGGAGGAATATATGATCCCTTATCTAAGGACACGTGTATTTGATAGGATCAGAGTTAACAGCGGCTTTGGAAAGCTACGATTGCAGATCAGGATCTGAAGTCATACGCAGAATAGTTATTAGACTTATCCAAGTGGGAGACTGTTGGATTAGTGTCTAAGTCCATAACTATTTTGGTATGTACTTGACCCGATGGTGCATGGTCCTTTTGGGTTGCCTTCACCAAAGCAACTTGATAGGATGAATTATGGAGAGAAAGGATTAAATATGATTTATTAATATATTATGAGAATAATATATTAAAGGAGAAATCATATTGTTTAATTAATATTAGTCAATAATTAATTGTTAATTAGTTTTGTGACTAAAAGAGATTAATTAAACTTAAGGGACTGGAATTGTAATTATAAGATAATTGCAATTTGGGCCATGGATTGCCTTGTATCAAGGGTTGGACGAATTCTATGGGGAAGCCCATAAGGAAATCGTCCAAGGGCTTGATTAAAGGGAGTCTATGGGTTGCTTAGGGCTTAAGCATCCAAATTAGGGTTTCCTTGTTAGATAACCCTAATAGCCCAACTATATAAAGACCCCTTAAGGCTCAAAAACATGGCTAAGCTTCTTGTTAGGGTTTCTACACGTTTTTGGTAGCCTCCAACCTCTCTCCTCTTCATCCTCTTGCTTATGGTGTTTGTAAGCCATTAGAGGAGTGACACTTGTGACTCTAAGCCTTCCAAAGTCAATTCAAGGAGGATTTAGGATTGTTATTGCTACATAAAAATCAAGGTAATATCTTAAACCTAATTATATGTTAATATCGATTTCCATATGCTAGAATTAGGGTTTATAGTCTTGGATTCAAAGCATGTACAATAGAGAAACCTAGATCCAAGCTTTAGGGTATGTATGAGCACATAGGATGTCTTATGACCAAAACCCATCAAATACTTCATATCTATGCGGTAGAAGAGAGTAACTACACACTCACATGTATAAACAACAATATATATATATATATATATATATATATATATATATACACACACACACAACACATATTTTATAAAATATTTTATATCTATGTGTAAGATGAAAGTGACTATACACTCACTTGATTAGACGATGCTTGGACAACACTATGGCTTGTAAAAGTAGTATTATTCAGTAGATCTGGAAGATCTTCACACACCGGGCTTCTCGCATGCAGAGCTTCGGCTCGGAAACTCGTTTCTTCTAAGGATCTTCAGGCTTTGGGACTTGCTTCAGGTCTCGGGATCATACTAGGGATTTGGGAGGGTTAAAATAGGGCTTAGAGAGGGTATCGGGAGTGGGAGAGAAGAGATTGAGCAACCAAACTCGGCTGCCCCTTAAATTCTATTTATAGGGCCATTAATCTGGATTCACGTAGTGAGTTCAATAGCCATCAGGTGCATCATCGCAACTTGCGTTTGGCAGGCTCCAGAAGTCATAAATACTGAGTTCATGTCGTGAACACTGTATTCACGTTGTGAACTCTGACAGTTTTGGGGTTTTGCGCCCCGAACTTCAGAAATTCATAACTTTCGCATACGAACTCCGTTTTCGACGTTATTTATATCCACACGTAGGTAAAAACATGATCTACAACTTTTAGTTAGACTCCGTCAGCTAGTTTTGACTTTATTTTTATTATATTATTTTTATATTATTTTTAGTAGGTCGGGATAGGAAAACTCCGTTAGAAATTCATAACTCCTTCATCTGAACTCCGTTTTCATCTTTCTTTTTACCGTTGGACTAATGTCGATGAGATCTTAGATTCTCGTTTAGATCGTTTCGGCTAGAAATCACTCGATCTCATATTCGAATTTCGGGTTGCATACTGCTGATGCTGAAACTTCGAAAAATCTTAACTTCCTCATACGAAGTTAGATTTAGACGTTCTTTTTATGCACGCTCTTGGTTTAATGTATTATATGACTTTCATTTAGATCTCTAAGGCCAAATATCGCTCTAACGTAAATTTGACTATTTACGTCGCGTCGTGTCGTGCCGGTTCTGTCGCGAAACTTTGACAGGTCATAACTTCTTCGTTATAACTCGGATTTCGTCGTTCTTTATATGTACGGAATCCTTGTAACATATACTAAAAATTAGTTAAGATTAATCCTTCTAAATAATCTTCCATCAAAAAGTCATTTTTGATGCTTATCGTCTATAAATTTACTAGCCCTGATCTACGGGCGTTACAGTTAAACAAGGTTGGATTGAAGGGTGTAGAAGGATAATTGGTCTTGATGGATGTTTTCGTAAAGGTTTTTGTAAGGGGGAATTGCTTTGTGCTATTGGGAGTGATGCAAATGACAAGATATATCCTATTGCTTGGGCAGTGGTTAATGTGGAGAACAAGCAGAATTGGAAGTGGTTTTTAGAGCTTCTCATTGATGATCTAAACTTAAATTTAGGCAATGGTTTCAGTTTAATGTCAGACCAACATAAGGTTAGTATTTTACATAGTAATGCATTTATATTTGTTTTACACTATCTGAATTAAACCTTTGTACCACTATAGGGTTTGGTAGAGGCTGTTAAAGAGTTGCTGCCATATGTAGAGCACATGCAGTGTGCTAGACATATTTTATAGAATTTGAAGAAGAGATTCACTGGTGCCATATATCATACCTTGTTTTGGAGAGCATCTAAAGCCACAACTGAGCATGATTTTAAAGTTGTGATGAAAGAAATTGAGACATTGAACCCAGATGCTCATCAATATCTCATGGAGAAAGATCCTAAAACATGGTCAATAGCTTCTTTCAAACTGGAAGGTGTTGTGATGCAGTTGAAAATGGGTTCTCAGAAAGTTTTTAATATTGTAATAGTAGATGCCAAGAAGAAGCCTGTAATAATCATGTTAGAGGAGTTAAGATTATACATGATGGACAAAATCTACAACAAGAAATTAAAGGGATAACAATGGGGAAATCATATTTGTCCAGAGATAAGGGATAAGGTGATTTTGCTTAAAATAGCTCAAAGGCATTATCAGGTACTACCAAGTGGATTAAACCAGTTTGAGGTAAGGGGAGCAACATATGCATATGAGGTGGACTTAGAAAGGAAAACATGTTCATGTAGGTTGTGGCAATTGAATGGATATGGATGTGCTCATTCTGTAGCTAGCATATCCTTTCTTAATAGGGATGTAGAAGCCTATATAGACAACATGTTTAGCACAACCACATTTAGGAAGGCATACAATTACATAATTGCTCCCATGAATAGCAGTGAAATGTCGCTAGAGACAAACTATACTCCACCGTTGCCTCCTATTAGTAGAAGGATGCATGGTAGGCCGGCTACTAAGAGGAAGAAATCCACTACAGAGAATACAGGAACACACAGGGCTTCTAAGGCTGGAAAGAAAATCAGATGTAGTATTTGCAAGGAGATAGGTCACAATAAGGCTACTTGTCCACAGAGAAGGCCCCAAAAGTTAAATGCGAAGAAATAGAAGAAACAAAAAGTTCGTGTGAAGCAAAATGTAGGACAGGTAAAACCATTTAAAATTTAAATTTATTTACATATGATTTGTTACTAACATAATTATACCATGCCATATAGGGTAGTACAAGTGAACCACAACAACATGAAAAGATTGAAATGACTCCAATTGAGATGGATACTACTCAAAATGATATGCAAGTTACTCCTACTGATGTTGAATCCAGTAGTGCAGGGGATTTTAGTTATTCTATGCAATTTATTCCACCTAGAAGTTATAAAGGTGATGAGGGTGTTGTGGGTGAGGAAGTTGATGTGGTTGTGGAAGTTGTTCAAGATGAGGAGGCTGAGGAGGTTGATCCTGTTATCCAAGTTAATAATGTTAATGTTCAGGAGGTTGATGAGGTTAATCCTAATGCCCAAGTTGATAATGTTAATGTTCAGGAGGTTGCTCCTATTATCCAGGTTCAGCAGGTAAGGGTTAGGCCAATTTCAGAGATTTTGGTTAGGATAAGGAGAAGAAAGTCAGAGAGAATATTGAAGCTGAAATTAGGCAAAACAATTGGTGGTGTTGATGATCCAAGAAATTTGAAGGGAAAGGCTCTTGTAATTGATTAGTGTTTATTGTAATTTGGATTTAAAGTTTATGTAATAGAATGATGATAATTTGGATTTAAAGTTTATGTAATAGGATGATGGTAATTTAGATTTAAAGTTTATGTAATAGGATGATGATAATTTATATTTAAAGCTTATGTAATAGGATGAAGGTAATTTGAAGTTTGGTCAGCAATGGATATTTTGGTCATTTAAGTATGTATGAAAGAAAAGGGTATTTTGGTCATTTAAGTATGTATGAAAGAAATGGGTATTTTGGTCATTTAAGTATGAATGAAAGAAAAGGGTATTTTGGTCATTTAAGTATGTATGAAAGAAAATGGTATTTTGGTCATTTAAGTATGTATGATAGAAAAGGGTATTTTGGTCATTTATTTATGTATGATAGAAAAGGGTATGTTGGCCATTTATTTATGTATGACATGAAGTATGAAAGTATGTTGCCTTTTTTAAGTAAAATCATGACATTTAGCTTTGATAATTTATGCATGGAAAAAATTGGAATAATGTGCATGCATGGGAATGTTTTATATGGTCCCGGATATGGTTTTATAATGGCTTCACAGGTCCCATTTTTTCATTATTAAAACACCCACTGACTAGTAACTAAAAATGGTCCCCATACACATAATGTACTTCCACATGGACCACTTCCTCATTTGTTCCCAAATTTAAAACATGCACAACAACTAATCTAATTAAATATATTTGTTGGGAATACATACCATGCATATGTTTGATTAACATCAACATCTGATTATACAAAATGCCCTACAATTGGGACATTGAATAGTTTTTTTACATTACTTATCATATGCCCTTTCATTAGGGACTTACCACCTTACAACATCAACACATCAAGGTTGATAACCCCAACTTATAACTAAAAGTAGCTTCAATACATATAAAATGTCATTCATTACTGACTTTCTAGTCTGCCTTTACAAAAAATACAAGGGATCCCAAAAAACAAAAGCTTACACTAACCAACCTAACTAACTACAATCACCCCTAACTTCAAAACACATAGGGCCAAGCAAGCAAACAATAGGGCAACTATCATCCTGTACCTGCTTATTGCCTTCCTTTCGTCATGAACTTCTTTCTCACTCTTTACCACCTGATACTGTTCCTGTGACAGCAGAAACTCCACTTCAACAATCCTTCTCCTCATATTGTTCATCTCAGACGGTTCCTCTTTGGCATCCAGTTTCTGCTTCAGAGAATATAGCAGGTTTTTGTAGCACCCGTCTGCCTGTTCTTCATCTTTCCATTCAAAGAAGCTACATTTCCTCAACCTAGTCTATAAAAAGCCAATAAAATTAGGGTTTGATTCACAATCACAAATCAACTACCTTTAATGTACCAACGAAATGGGTTTTATTCGCAGTGATCGTCAAGAAGCAAATAAAATTAGGGTTTTTAACAGATGAAACAAAATACAAATAGACCATTATCGTCTTTACAGAAAGAAACAACACATCAAACCATAAAATACTAACTTATCAAAATCAGGAGAATAAGGACCTATCATACTGTTTTGACAATTCCATAATCGCCTCCCAGGGTTTGTTATCTTCCAATATGTTCGTTCTTTAGCTGGAACGATACAATCACAAAGCTCTACCCCTTCTTGCGACTGAACATGAGTGACTTGTAGCAGATTCCTTGACGTCGATGAGCTCGAATACATTCTTCTTCAGGACGGAAATAGTGTGGAATCTCCCATGCTTGACGTCTTCCCCTTCATATTTATAGGTGATGAATACATATTTGATTTGGATAAGGATTCATTGGGATAATCCATATGGATTTGAATACATATATCTTCCTTAGAATTTGAGATATACCCCATTTAAACAACATATTCCATAATGTATATATCTAGAGACTAACATTGTCGCATCCCATTTTCCAAATCAAAATTTTCATTTTTAAAATTAACATAAACACTCATGTTCATAGAATAGTAATCAATGTAAGACCATTTGTTCAATAAACCAAAATCCATAATCAAAGCTATAAAGAAAAGCAACGTGAAATCTCAAATCATAAAATTTATGATCTATGTGTACAATCACGTCTTCACATTTTCACGATATGATAAATACATGAAAAACATTTAATTCACAACTGTAAACACAAAACTTAGTGAATTCTCCAAAATACTATACACATCACATAATTATGGGCCCTGTCCTAGGGGTATATTTCAACTCATGTGAACGCTATATTCCCCCATAGTCTTACAATCACTTTCGTTGTCACAATCCCCCTGTAGTCTTTCTTCCTATGGTCATTTCATATTCTTTCATGTATATAAATTGTTATAGTAAAAAGAACTTTACAAAAGGATAAATAATCTTATTACTCCAAATGTGAAGTTGTAACCATGATTAGCTTTCAAAAAACAAAAAGAAGAAAAATTATTTTTGTTAATAAGATTTTTATGATAATGTGAAGTTCCAAAAACATAATTATCTTTCAGAAAACCAAAAGAAGAAAAATTGTTTTTATTAATAAGATTTTTTTTATAATGGTTAGCTTAATTAATACTCCACAAATCATAGGAATATCTGTGATTTGAAATAGGAGTATTTGTGATTTGAAAGAAGAATTTAGAGGAATTAGCTTTTGCTGAATTTGCATGATTGTCCACCTCTATCCATTATGAGGTCTAGCTCCTATATATTACAAAAGCTTACAGTGGTAGGAATTTGATGATGTTAGAGTTAGACCATCATTGAAATAGAAAATGACTCATGACTTAACGTTGTTATTTATAGAATAATATGAATAAAATAATAACTAAAGAGGGTTAATTAGATAACCAAATAAATTGAATAGCGAGTCAAGAAAAGGAACCTTTTAAATTTATAAATATATTATTTTTTAAATTTATGTATTACATGAGTTTATTTAAAGAAATAAACAAATATAAAAATTTAACGATTTAGAAAATTTAAAAAATTTATATGGAAAAAAAAGAAAAATATTAAATTATTAAAGTTGAAGTGCTTATTTATCTTTTGAGTTTAAACTAATAATTTAAATAAATAAACAACTAAAATAATCGGATTCAATTTAGAAATTTAGAAATATTAAGGAAAATTATATTAATAAACTAATATACATTTATTATTATATTTAAGTATTATATGAAATTTAATAAAATAGAAAAAAAAAACCACAAAATATCATATGGATATAATTTAATCTAAATTTAACACAAAATGACATGTGACATAATGTATAATAGAGTGATAAGTGGCAAAATTATTTTTATTTATTAAGAAACTAAGTGTACGACCCATATATTACATGACTTAATTAAAAAAAATTAAATTTAAATGTTTAAATATTTAAGAACTTTGGATTATTAAAATTGATTTTTTTATCTTTTAAATTTAAATAAATAAACAAAATACACTAATGATCTTTAATTTGAAAATTTGCAAATAAGAAGGTAAGTTTATTAACGAAACTGATATTTATTTATTATTACATTTATTGTAATTATTACATTAAAGTATTATGTGGAATTTATTAAAATAAAAAAAAACTCATAAAATGACATGTAGAAAAAAAAATTAATTCAAAATAATCATAAAATTATATTTGTCAAATTGAATAAAAGTATGACATGTGGAAAAAAAAAACATTCATTTATTAGAATAGAAGTTAAAGTTAATTGGATTAAATATCGTTGTAAATATTAAAAAAATATTAAGCTAATAATCTAAATTTTAAACAAAAGATTTTATGAGTTACAAATTTTTAAGCAAACAAATTAATGTCAGTTTTACTTATGGAAGTGCACGTAAGTTGGATTGAGATTACCCAATTACCATTACCATAATAATTTAATCGTATGAATGATAATATTTTTATTTAAACTATACATATAATAGTTTAGTTAAAAAGGTGTGCGTATTAGCCCTTTTTAAACATGTCGTCCTTAAAGGGGACCTTTTGATGGTCATGTAACTTTTTAGAAGAAAAAGGAAGTGATTTTGAAGCACTTGCACGCCAAGCTTTTCTGGAGGTGTAATAATACTCGAGCATCCTATGGCAAGAGTCAATATTCACTAATCATTTATATAATATCATATCTTTGATATGATACAATCTGATAATTAAGATGTTGTATTACAGTTTAAGTCTTCTATGTCATGGTTAATTTTATAGATGTTGATTGTGTTATTATATTATAGGCTGTTTTATGGTTGGATGTTATTCATCATAAGGATTATTGTGACTTGATAGAACAATGTGTGACTTCTTTCACTAACTGTTTTTCATCGTTTTTTTTATCTATAAACATATTTTTTGATTTTTCCCCCATTTTGGTCCACCTATAGTCGACACAACCGGTAAAAATGTCTTATTGTGATTTGTTTGGTGTCTATTTGGCATAAATGTTTGTCTAAAATTTTTAGAATGGACTTTTTCTAAGGGCATCTCTAACATGGCATAAGTGTTTGTCTAAAAATTTTAGCATGGATTTTTTCGAAGGGCATATGTAACATCTGGAATATAAGACTTTTAAGTAGTCTATCATTATTGGAAATATCTATAGAGAAAATTATAAATTTAACCGTTTCTATTAATTATTTGTAGAAAATAACCAAAAAAAACTCAAATTATAAAAATAACCCATAAAATCGTAGATGGATTAAGCTCATCTGCGATTTTGCAAATTGAACTGCAAACATACAAGTGTTTAAAGCACATATACGCAATACGAGTTGTATATTCACAGATGGATTGAGTCCATCTGCGATGACCTCAAATATTACATTTTTTAAGGTATAAAAACACTAAAAATATTATATTTCATTAAGATTTTTGTTGGGAGAACGCTCTCTAGAGGCAGAAACGGTAGATATGGACGATTTCATCTAAAATTATCTTTAGTCATTTGTGTTTTAATCATTATTTATTAACTTTAGGCTTTGTTTAATTACAAAACGAAAATCAAAGGTGTTGCCTCTCCGATTTTCTTAGATCTAGTATTATATTTGATATTTAAAAGATTTCATAAGTAGCCTCGAGGTTTTGATGTTATCTCATACTTGGATCTATGATTGTACACATGCATGATGCGTAAATCGTGCATTGGGAGGTTGTACATTTGGTACTTTTGTATTAATATATTATATAAATGTGTTAATATATTGTAATAATATGATTTTTTTAATATGAAATTGATTTTTATTGCTTCTTGATGTCGCATCTTTGCATTTGTGAGGTTGTATATTAGGTTTTCAAAGATTATATAAAAAATATTATGCAATTTTGACAAATATAGTTTATATAGATATAGTTTATGTTATAAATATTTATTTTTGATGCTATTATTATGTTATAAATATTCTGTCAAACCCCATGCAATGTGACGGCATAAAGAACGTCAATCCTATTATCCTGAGAGTACATGCATTTTAAAAGTCAACATAATATTGATGACTACACGAGTTTTTATTTTGAATCTCTTTTAACAATACTTTTTTTTTTTGTGAAAAGTTTTCTTATTTATTTACCAACTCTTCTATATTTTTATAGTATCTTTTATAAATCTTAAATTATTATCTCTTCAGAATATCTAATAATCCTAACGTATTTTAATTACGATTATCTTTTGTTAACCCTAATTTATTATCTTTTATTGATTTCTAACGATCCTAACATATTTTTAATTAGAATTATCTTTTGTTAACCATAATTTACTATCTTTTAAGGATTTCTAACGATCCTAATGTATTTTAATTACCATACCATACGTCCTTAATGGTAATCTAAGCTCTAAGGCAATTATTAATGTATTAATGTGAGCCCCTATAATCAACGCTATGACTGTAAATGTACCCCTAATCACGACGCTTCATCAGACTTTGAATAGTAATTTATATGGAAGGTACCAGGATTGTAGCTAGCAATCACAGGTGGGGTTATCAAGGCCCCATATAGATCTATGCAAAACTATCTAGCTATCGCAAGATTCACGATTATAGGTATTAAGGAGATGCCGAATTTAATCAAGGCATTTTGGATGAATAACCAATTCACTAAGCATTAACCCTAGACGTTTATCTTTTATCTTTTAATCTTATATATATATATATATATATATATATATATATATATATATATATATATATATATATATATATATATATATATATATATATATATGGGAAAAGTGAATATACCCTTAAGGGTATATAAATTAGGTACCCATTAATTAAAACTACGTAGTTTTGATTAGTGATTTAATTTCCAAAAAAAAAAAAAAACTATTGCAGTACGTGTTTTCTAATTCACGTCAATTTCAATTGCTCAAGTCCTTTTGTTCCATGAATCGGCCCTACTTCCATACTCCATGAGATCGATGAACGAAAAAAGAATTCCATACGATCACAAAAAAAATTCCACACAATCTCAAAAACGATTTCAAAGAAATCAGAATTTCAAGTTATTGTAGTTCCCACAAAAAATCGATTTCACTTCAAAGAGTTAGGAAAAAATCAATCTCAATTCACAGAGACTTAAAAATCGATCTCAATTCACAGACTTAAAAAACGATTTCAAATCACATATAGTTGAAAAACGATCAAAGGGAAAAAAATCATAGAAATCGTAAAGTGTAGCTGCAGCCAAGAAGTTTCAATTCACAGGTGACAACAATTTTCACAATTTACCAATGATTTCACTTTCAATTATTAATTTTGCATATGTTTTTTAGTTCCAATTGTTTATCAATAGAATTTTTATTTTATATTATGCTCTATTATTATCCATATTGCTTTTGTTTGATCAAATTTAGTAGAATCTATTGCTTTTTGATATAATGAAAAAGTTAGGCTATCTCGAAAAAGTTACTGGAATGGCATTAATAGGGTCAAGTTCTTATTGTCTTTTACTTGTGGTTTTGTGCAGGTTATGATGTTTGAATCCGAAGCAGCTGATCAGGCTATAGAACCATATATAAATGATAATGTTGACATAAATGATTTTGTGGAATCAACATATGAATCTGACGAACTTAACGATTTCGAAGTGAACATTGAATTTGACGAAGATGATGTTAATGATGAAAGGATACTGGGAAAGGCTTTTGATACACCCGATGATGCCTATACATTTTATAATAATTATTCTTTTTTGCATGGCTTTGGTATACGTAGAGATGATACAATTAAAAATCCTAAAACAAATGAGCCTTTTCGGATGATATATGTATGCAACAAAGAAGGTTTCAAACGGACGGACAAAAATGATTCAAGTGAAAATGAGAAAAAACATCGTAGAGATGTTAGAACCGGATGCCAAGAAAAGCTTCGAATAACAAGACAAGAGGACGGGAAGTGGTTGGTGGACTCGTTTAATGACACACACAATCACGACTTGACCATGATACCTACAAAAGTGATGAAGTATCACTCTCATAGCAATTTCCACTGTTCAATAGAAGGTAAATCTCTTATGGTGCAATTTGGTCAAGCGGGGTTGAAACCTTCTCAGATTAAAAAGGTTGTTAATACAATGAAAACCTCAAATGCAGCTGATGTAACTTCAAAACAATGTGTTGATGTCTTATCTGAGCATCGAAAACAACATAGAGGAAAGGAGTTCTATGGACTTATAAAACATTAGTTGACAGTGACCAGTATTTTGTCGTAGATTTGTCTAATGATGGATATCCTAGAAATATCTTTTGGGCTGATGGTAGATAAAGAGATGCCTATACAAAATTCATAGATGTTGTTGTGTTTGATGTCACTTATATGACTAACAAATTCAAGATGCCATTTGCTCCCTTTAATGGGGTGAATCATCATGGGCAATCAATACTTTTTAGTGGAGCATTGCTTGAAAATGAAAAGCAAGAGACATTTGAATGGTTATTTGAACATTTCCTCAAATGTATGTTTGGCAAGTATCCGAACACGATTATTACCGATCAAGACAAAGCTATGGGCAATGCCATACAAAAAGTGTTTCCAAAGACTCGACATCGCTTTTGTGCATGGCATATCAGGAAGCATGAAACTGAGCACCTTCGATCGTATGTTTCCCGTTACAGTGATTTTCAAGAGACGCACAGAAAATGGGTAAATAGTGACACCATTGAACAATTTGAAGCAACATGGGAAGATATGCGTATTAAGTATGAACTGGAAAGCAATTGTTGGCTTAGTGACATGTATAACCAACATATACATTGGGCTAAACCTTTCTTGAAGGATATTTTCTTTGCTGGTATGACCACAACCGGACGAAGTGAGAGTATCAATTCATTTTTTGATGGATTTGTTAACTCGAGGACCATGTTGAATGAATTCGTTGTACAATATGACAAAGCAGTTGAGTCACGAAGGGCTGCTGAAGAAGATGAAGACTTCAAGACAATGAACTCAAGGCCGGTTCTTTCTTCAGTGCATCCAATCGAAGCAAAAGTAGGTCAACGTTATACTAGAAAAATGTTTGATACTTTTAAAAAAGAATGGACTGAAGCTATTACCAATTTGACTCACGAGACTCTAATAAAAACTATAGAAGAAAGTACATATAGAGTTGGGCAATTGGACGTTGATAAAAAATATTGGCGTATTGTTACCTTTCGTTCTTTAAATCAAGTCAACGTCACATGTTCTTGTTCTATGTATGAGACAAATGGGATTTTATGCAAGCATAGCTTATACGTGATGAAGAAGAAGAATGTTCAAGAACTGTCGAGTCACTATATTTTATCGCAATGGACCCTTGATGCTAGGTACAAACTGGGTAGTGTTAGTATCGGACTTAGAGAAATAAATAATGAAAATGGAGTTAGTGCCTACACATTATTTTGTGTCCGTTCAAATTTTACTAAACTAATTGAACAATCAAGAGACTCTCCATCGGAGATACAAAAACTCAATACGATATTGATACGTCTTTTAGATGATCAAGCAAACCGAAAGACATCTATGTCTTTGGAGAATGCATCTCAAAGTTCTTGTATGGAAGTTTCGCAAGTAGATATGATGCCACAGTTATCTGTCCATGATCCTCTTGGTCCAACTACTACAAAAGGGCGTCCTAAACTTGCAAGTAGAATCAAGTCTTCTTTAGAAGCCCCCAAAAAACAAACATGCTCTTACTGTTAAGGATTGGCTCATTATGCTACTAGTTGTTCAAAAAGAAAGGTAACAATAATAATAATTTAATTTTCATGATTGAGAACTATAATAGTTATATTAACAATTTTTTTTTTTTTTTACTTTTTTTCATGTATTAGACGGATGAATCGTTGCAACAGACATAATGATGAGATGTGTTGTTTTTGAGAGTAAAAGAAAAAGTAGATGTTTGATGACATTTTTTATTGGTTAACTGCATATTTTTTATGTTTTAGACACAAATGATGTATGAATAATCTAGAATTTATTGATGCTTCATAACAATTTTAATGTTTTCGAATGAAATTTGTTGATTGTTTATAATTTATGTGATTGTAATTGAAATTTGGCTGCCACTATATGTTTCAAATGAAATTACGAAGGTATTTTGAGAAAAAAAACAGAAGTATAATGGTATTTTTGTGAAAAAATAAAAATATGAGGGTACTTTGTGAAAAAACGGAAGTACAAAGGTATTTTTTGTGAAAAAATGAAAATATGAAGGTATTTAGTGAAAAAAAACGTAAGTACGAAGGTATTTTTGTGAAAAAAATGAAAATTTGAGGGTATTTTGTGAAAAAATGAAAATTTGAGAGTATTTTGTGAAAAAATTGAAATTTTGAGGGTATTTTGTGAAAAAACGGAAGTATAATGGTATTTTTGTGAAAAAATAAAAATTTGAAGGTATTTTGTGAAAAAAAAAGTAAAAATGTATTTTTGTGAAAAAAAAAGGAAGTGTAATGGTACTTTTCTTCACATTTGGGTTAAAAACAAAAGTCATTTTGGGTTAAAAACTAAACTTTTTTGTAGTTTTGGGTTAAAAACAAAACTTTTTTGTCATTTTGGGTTAAAAACGTAATTTTTATGCACACGTTTGGGTTAAAAAAACTTTTTATGTCATTTTGGGTTAAAAAGAAAACTTTTTGTAATTTTGAGTTAAAAACGCAATTTTTCTGTCATTTTGGGTTAAAAACGAAATAAATTGATGGTTTTTCACATTGTTGAACGATTTTGCGGTTTTGCCCCTGTCCCAAAGATGGTTGTCATCCTCAAGAACTTAAGTATAAGGAAGTTCAAGTTACATATACAATACAATCAAAAGCAAAGAATCTAAATTGTCAATTTTTATTAAAAATGATAAGTACATTGATACTTCGGATAAATATGAAAAGAGGGTTGCTATTTCAATTTACTTCAAAAAAATAATACTTTTGTTCTATACATTTTCTATTAAAATATACATGGTCAATTCAGTATACAACCACCAAAATTTTTTCAAATGTTCCTACAATTCTTCCAATTATTCAAGTATTCCCACCAGTTCTCCAGCAAAGAATCATAATAACACCTGGATGAGCCATCCGACATCAAAAAGAATACCATGTTCCTCCATTATTTTACCCAACGTAAATCTTGTAATATTTGAACCCTCTAATATTTCAACATAAACCTGCTCAAAACCAAATTAAAATCTTACCTTGGCCATTAAAGGAATTATAAAAAGAGCAATTAGCATACTTACAATATTTGTCTCCACAGAAGCTACATCCACTTTGAGCCCCTTGATTTTATTTAGCCCATCTACAAAAAAACATACATAATTTGGGTGTTAAGAACTTAATCAAATATAAGAAATATTTACATAAAAACCCTTTAAGAAGTGCAGCATTACCAACTAAAGTCTTGGCATTCTTGTGATCATTTCCAAGCTTTCCAACATTTTCTTGTAAAGCAATAAGAGTAGCAGCACACAAGATTCCCACCTGTCTCATTCCACCAGCAAAGAATCTCAATAACAATCAACTAGTGATGAAGCACACGGATGATGCTATTAAGCATCTTTATAGCACTACGTATCCCCATCAAGTGAGTAGCCACTACAAAAAATGATAAAAAGTTTCACAAAACATGGAAACATATTCATAATCATGAAAGGGTAAAAATGTCCTTTAACTCAAGCATTGCAATAATAACTTAGGAGATAAATTGGTAGAGAACTAACAAGATGTAGATACATATTACCTTATACTTAAATATTGCATGATTTTAACCGGAGCAACAGTTGTTGCTCTGAACTAGGAAAAGTGCATGATTGAGTGAACAGCTTCCACAAATTCACGAGTGGGAACCTACTCAAGAAATTGGATAGCTAAAAGAGCTCATGTTCATGTTCATGATAAACTAACAACTGAAAACACTTATGTATTTGTAGTTACTTCAGGAAATAAATGAATGGAATCAAATTTACTTCCTTCATTGGTAGATTCCATGGTTACAAGGATACATGAAGGTGAAGAAAGGAGGCAACATCAATAACTCAGAATGCTTTATTGTCATCAAGTTTAGGTTGATTTCCATATAGGTATACCAAAGCTATGGAAAAGACCTCTTTGATAACATTGTTGTCATCCACATGCAAGGTCAAAACTAGTGCATTTGCATCTTTCCAAGGACCACGAATCATGTTCCTACATAGTACAGTAAGTGGCATGATCAAATCATCAAATATTTATAAAAAAAAGAAGCAAGAAGACTTTAATCAAATCGTAAGAACTAGTCATCAATGGAAAATAGAGAAGAAGAAACACACGAAACTGAATTGTAAAAAAACTTATCTTTTTTCAAACTAGTTGATTTGCAATTGCTAAACCTGAAGTGAATTTGCAAAAAGTTCAATTATCAATTTGGAGCAGTTGACCCTTTCGCTTTCTTGATAATAGTCTATGCCTTCACTACAGCATTTAATCGAACACTTAGTGGGTGTTCTATTGTCGCTTAGCTACCTTGCTTTTACTTTGATATTTGGGCTTGAGACCTGGACTCTGAACTCAAAGTGGAGACATAAATACTGCCCAAAACAGTTGAACACCTGTACACATACAATCGCCGATTTCTTCATCTTCAATCTTCATCGCTGATTTCTTGCCGATTTCAATTTTTCCCACAACGATTTCAAAGTTCATAAACTCAAGCATTGTTTAATCTTCCTTTCTCCCACGATAGAAAAAGTAGAAAGCGAACATGGAAAGGCTTCTAGTGTGAACCTGAGCGATAGATGTTGCAGAGTACACACATTCAATGTGAAATGATAATTCTTGATCGGATGATTAGAAAACATCGAAATCACAAACTAAAAGTGATTCGTATAAGGGTTAATCGATTGGGAATTAACAAAAATTAACAAACGAAACGTCAGTGGTTTTAGTAAGCAAACGACACAGTTTTGGCTATAGGATATATATATATATATATATATATATATATATATATATATATAAATATATATATATATATATATATATATATATATATATATATATATATATATATATATATATATATAGGTTCAGCTTCATTTGAAACCATTCTAATTTTGTGAGACCGTGAGACCAAATATAAAAATAATTTTAAAAAGCAAAATAAATGGAAAAATCCAAAAATTCTTTTTTTAAATATTATTTTCGGAACTTGAATTAATTAAAAAAATATATAAAAAAAATAAAAAAATTCCGTTTTTTTTTTTTTTGAAAAATACGTGAAATATTCTAAATAGAATATTATACTGACATATTCTAAAAAATAATTTTAAAATGCAAAATAAATGGAAAAATCTAAAAAAAAAATTTTAAATATTATTTTCGGAACTTGAATTAACTAAAAAAATAATAAATAAATAAAAAAAATTCTATTTTTTTTGAAAAATATGTGAAATATTCTAAATAGAATATTACACTGTACATATTCTAAAAATAATTTTAAAATGCAAAATAAATGGAAAAATCAAAAAATTCTTTTTTTAAATATTATTTTCGGAACATGAATTAACTAAAAAAAATAAAAATAAAAATAATAAAAAAATACGTCTCATGGTCTCACAAAATATAAGTGGTCTCAAATGAACCTAACCCTATATATATATATATATATATATATATATATATATATATATATATGTTCAGGTTCATTTGAGACCATTCTAATTTTGTGAGACCGTAAGACCAAATCTAAAAATAATTTTAAAATGCAAAATAAATGGAAAAATCCAAAAATTCTTTTTTTAAATATTATTTTCGGAACTTGAATTAACTAAAAAAATATAAAAAAATATAAAAAAAAATTCCGTTTTTTTTTTAAAAAATACGTGAAATATTCTAAATAGAATATTACACTGGCATATATTCTAAAAAATAATTTTAAAATGCAAAATAAATGGAAAAATCTAAAAATTCTTTTTTTAAATATTATTTTCGGAACTTGAATTAACTAAAAAAAATAAAAAAAAATTCTATTTTTTTTGAAAAATACGTGAAATATTCTAAATAGAATATTACACTGTACATATTCTAAAAATAATTTTAAAATGCAAAATAAATAGAAAAATCAAAAAATTCTTTTTTAAATATTATTTTCGGAACATGAATTAACTAAAAAAAATATAAAAAAATAAAAAAATGCGTCTCACGGTCTCACAAAATATAGGTGGTCTCAAATGAACCTAACCCTATATATATATATATATATATATATATATATATATATATATATATATATATATATATAATATATATATATATATATATATATATATATATATATATAAAAGTTCATGTGAAAGCATTTTTTTAAAACGAGAACATGAGGATAAATTTCAAACAATCAATATACATATAATTTTTTAAATAAAAAAAAATTAAATGATTTTACTTTAGTCATGATATTTTCGTATTTACAAATGATATTTAATGATTGTTTTAATGATAACCTCCTACAATTATGGTACATTTAATATTATTAGTAGCAAACAATTAGGAAACGATCAATCAGCAATCGTGTATTCACGTTTCATGCTTCTATTATTCTGAAAAAAAAAATTGCATATTCATAATTTATGTATTTTCCTTTCAAGGTTGTCCTCCGATCTAAAGAATTATGTTTATTCCATAACAATCCACTTACGGATTTGTTATTCCCAATGATTTTGATGATAT